TGCAGTTATGTATTTGAGAAGAGTGATTGGGGACCTGTGTGTGAAAGCACTTCAGGACCAGCGGCTTCATGCTCTGCCTGAAAACCATACTTGACCCTCCACACAAGAAGGCAGACCCAGAGTTAAGAGTAGGAGGATAGTAATCAGTATACTTGTTGGGTTAGGCTGAGATTCTTCATTAACTTTCTCCCCTAAATTTAATGGCTTCAAACAACAAAATTTTTTTACCTTTAGAAGAAAGCTCTGCCAACCTTAGCCACTCATGGACTCAGGCTGATAGAACAGCCACCATTTTGCACTTTCTTGTTGTTCAGTCACTAAGACGTGTCCAACTCTTTGTGACCCTAGGGACTGCAGCATGCCAGGTTTCTTGTCCTTCACTATCTCTTGGAAGTTTTCTCAAATTCACGTCCATTCAATCGGTGATGCCCTCCAACCAAACCACATTGGGCACATTGCTGGAGATAAAAGAGAACTCTGGAGAAGACCAGCCAACCCAGCAAACTCAGGCTCAGACACATGAGGCGTTCACTCACTGCATTGGCTGGAACCGGGCACTTGATCACACCTAGAGGGTCTAAGAGAGGAGAGGACTGGAAATATTTGACAAACAACACTAATGATGACCTCAATTGTATTGAAAATGTGTTGAAAGAGGAGTTTTGACAAGAGCAGAGATGACCTCAGCAGAAATGGGAACAATGTGAACAGTGCTGGATCACAGTGTTGGCTGCTCCAAATTGTTCACACTTCTCTTCCCTAAAACTGTTTTCCAATTAAATTCAACTCAATAAACATTTAATAAAAGGCTTAGAGTGTGTTTATATAAAGGTGAGCTGAGACAAAACTGTAGGTAATGCTATTCTTTTGGATGCTACATTCAGGCTACTTTGGGGGCCACCTTAAGAAAAACTAACAAAGCAAATGTGGAGAAATTGAAACCCTCATATATTGCTGGTAGGAATGTAAAACAGTGCAGCCACTTTGGAAATGTTTAGCAGTTTTTCAAAAGGTCAAACAGTATTACCAGAAGACCCACCAATTTCACACCTAGATATATATTCAAGCAAAACAAACACATTTTACATGAGTATGTACACTTGTGCATGCATGTTCATAGCAGTATTATTCATTTGCAAAGTGGAAACAATCCAAATGTCCATCAGCTGATGAATTAACAAACAATATACTTACACGTTGGAATATTATTCAGTCATAAAAACAATGAGATATTGACATATGCTTCAATATGGATGAATCTTGAAAACACTGTGCTAAGTGAAAGAAGCTAGACACAAAAGGTCACATAGTGTATGATTGCATTTATATGTCATGTCCAGAAGAGGCAAATCCACAAAGACAGAAAGTAAATTTGTGGTTGCCAAGGGCTGGGAGTACAGAGGAATGGGGAGTGACTGCTAATGGCCGTGGGGCTTCTTTATGGGATAATAAAAACATTCTGTAACTCATGGTAATAGTTACACAACTGTGTGAAGTATGACATCAATTTTATTAATAAAAAACTTAACACATGTGTATATATTTATGTATACATACATCTAGATGGTGAGAGAGTGATTTTGTATGTGTGTCTTTCTGTTGTCTCCTGCCAGTGCATAAGCATTACCTTTGTAACCCGAAAAAATAAAACCTCTTAAAAATCAATTCAAATCACATTTAAAAATTGAGATCTTGCATCTCCTGGTACAACCTTTCAGGTGACCCAGTGCAGATTACATTCATATGAAATTGTAGAATAAGCAAAACTAAATTGTTTTTGGGAAAAAAAATCAGGGGAATAGTTTCCTCTCGAGGGGTGGGAGCAGGGATTAAATAGGAGAGGACATGAGGAAATTTTCTGGGGGGACAGAACTTATAGTAACGGTCCATGCATTGATAGCGGGGTTACACAGGTGAATGCATTTGTCAAAACTCAGGGAATGTACACTTAAGATTTGTGAATTTCATTGTATTTAAGTTTTACTTTAAAAAACCCATAAACAAATATTGAACTAAAGTAAGTGACCGATATGCTTAGGTATTTGGGGTAAAGTGTACATTGAGATATGTATTTTAAAAATAAAGCAGATTAAAGGATGAATACAGATATTAGATGGATAGATATGTGATAAAATACAGTAAAATGTCAGTAGTAGAATATAGGTGGTGGGTATGTGAGTGTTCAGTGCTTTATATTTGAAATTTTTCATAATAAAACATCAGGGGAGAAGGGGTAGACTTCATTCTCTGTCCTTCTGATTCTCCAAGCTCCATTTTTCTCACCTGCCTTTTTGCCCACTACCTGTTAGGTATTTCTCCTTGATTGTGAAATACATCTTCAGTCCCTACAAACCATTCCTGCTTTTCCTGTTTTTATTAAGATTAACATCATTTTTCTAGTTGGGAGCACTTCTCAGTATGAAAGTCATATTTCTTTCCCTCCTTTCTCCCATACCCTTAAATCCAATTAAGCTCCAAATTCTTCTGATTTTCACTTTATCTCTTTTCTTTCCCACTAACACTAGCTTAATTCTGCACCAGTTACACCTGCATCCTGGTAGCTATTTCCATGGAGAACTAGAGTAGGATAAATAAGAAAATAATTCACATGTAATTAGATGTTCCATGTCTTTTGACATGTTTGTGATAGAATGGTTCTAACAGTATACTGTATTGGAATTTACCTGGTTATTATAAGCCTTTAAACTTTTAATTTCAGCCTCGCAAACACTCTTGTCACAGAAAACAGAATTCTACACTATGATTGGCCTCTGAAGACAACTGGTCCTGCTATATGAACTCTGCGGAAGTTGTCCATTTTCATCTTGGCAGATACCTGACACCAGTTCTATTATACTATTCTGCGGGTCTATTTTGCGACTAATTTCATCAAGAAATGAAGTTACTTACCAACAGATGCCCCAGGGGTGCTTCATTAACTGTCCTCACCACCACCTGATGGCTAGACTAGCTATCTGCAGGGAATAGCAACCCTAAACTTTTCCTATGTTAAAATGACTGTAGATAAGATGTAATATTTCAGGGTCTCAACCATCTGTGTATGTATATGTGGGACTGGAACTGAGTTTTAAACAGAGCTTGGCTCTGTCAAAAGTGTTCCCCCTCTCACTTGGTTGGCAAGGCACAAGGGCCTTTAAAAAAACCTTCGGGTCTTTGAATCCAGCCTTAGTCAATTCTTTATCAAAGGCTCATGGAAGTCGCTTTAGAAACACACAGTTTGTTTCTTCCAGATGTTTTCAACTTTATCCTCAGTGGAAGCCAGATCACCAGAGCCATTTAGCTGGTCTCTAGCGTAAGTTTTTAGTAAATTGCAGCTTGGCCATATTAGTTTAATTTGTATTTGTAGCATATATGGGAAAATGGTAATTTCATGACTGTATGCATTTATTTACAGTTCCAAACTTTTGAGTACTTAAGTCATGCTACGGTAGGTGCTTTAAGGGTATCATTTAATCCTCCCAACCATCCCTTGGAATAAATATTATCTCCATTTCACAGGTCAAGATACTGAAGCTCAGACAGGTTACATAACTCGCAAATGGCAGTAATAGGACTCAAACCCAGGTTTATCTATTTTTAAATCTGGTGGACTTTCCCACTAGAAAAGCAACAGGAAAATTTCACACTGTATCACACTATATAGCCTTAAGCATCTGTATAAATAGCTTGACGAACATCGTAATTTTTACTTATTCCTGGTTTTAACCTTTTCCCCTATTTTTTTAATCAATTCAGTGATTTCCTCAACTATTTACTTTTATAGCATTTTAATAATACATTTTTAATAAAGTGCCTAGAATCCTTTTGGATTTATATTCCACTGTGGTATAAAGAAAAAGGAATAAAAAGTCCCTCTGAAATCTTGTAATTTTATTTAATGTTCGCTGGGGTTTTCTGGTGTTATTTGCTTTTATGAAACTTTCAGGTTTTTGCTCTGGTGTACACATGGCTTAAGTTATGAAATAACCGAGGCAAGCCTTCTACTTTAAACTGTCCTCCGGCGCTTCCAAGTCCAATGAGTAAATTTTACCTGAGGCTTGCACAGGCAACACATTTAGCCGTGGTATAATCAGATATTTGAGTAAAGGGAGGGAGAGTAGAAGTAGTTAATAAATGAAAGTTCATACCAGAAACCGTTAATATTGTGACTATTTCATTACTTTGGTCCCTTACTTTGACTGGAACAGGGTGTGACAGTTTACAGAATTCTCGAGGTCTACTTACTGGTGCCCTGAAGCCAGATCTCTTCACTGTTCTTCAGATTCTGTTCTAAAATCCTAAAGATATCTCTTGTCCGCTACAGAAGGTGCCTGGCAGGCTACAGTCTGTGGAGTCGCAGAGTTGGACATGATTTAGTGACTGAACAACATAGAAGGTGCAGCTGATTTCCTCAGGAATCACCGTTTCCTGTCTTAAGTTCCTCTTTTGTACCATGCCATCTTTTCTGTCCACAGTCCTGTGTTCCTGACCACCTGGTGTCATACGGCCAATCAAATTCTGCCTCTCTAGTTTCGTCATTTTCTTGATAATGATAGGTGGGGGCCAACACGGATTTGGCTCTGTGTGGTGTCAGGTGCCAAGTTTCGCGAATGCATCACCTTTTTTCACTCCAGCAACCCTTCTGCTGTTGAATCTCTTTTGCTCTGTTGCGCTGTCTTATCAAGGCACTCATCTCACACTTGCAGTCACCTTCACCTTTCTGACGTGTCTGCTCTGACAGCCCTGTTGCTCATAGTTTCAGGGTTTAATTAGCTGAGACACAGAAACCACTTTCCATTTTAAATTCTCAGGCAGTGATTTGGCAAAATGAGATCTACCAGATTTAGAGTAATGATGGAAAAGAAAGAACAGATTAGGTATCATTTCACGCTAGTTCGGTGTTATTATGTGAAAACGATGTAAATGTTTCACTTCCTTATTTCCAGTTCAGGTTGTTAGTGCAACTCAAGTAGAGACATAGGAATAAGAGAAACTACATATTCTTTGAAAATCATTTATTTCAAATTATACACACATAAAATAAGACTGGGGTAAAGATTTATTTGCTTGCCATTTGCATCATACTCTCTCCCCCAACTAAGGGTTTTCTCTTGTTACAAAATAAAGCAATTCTCTGTCATGAATTTCTTCCTTTCAGGGATTCACAGTCAAAATCTTTCAGAATACTAGTGCACTGAGCACAGAAAACTTTTATGTAGTTTATCAGATCGAGCATTTGCTAGTGGAAGGATCCCAGGGAGACAGAAAACTATTAATGAAATGTATCAGGCAGTTTAAACTCCCATTACACTGTTTTCCAGTAGTTCTCAGAAGGTTGTGCCTCTTATGTTTTTACTTCATGTCTTTTATATTTAGAAAATATTTTTTTCTTACCAAAGTGAATCTATTAAATAATAATTCAGCTCCCTACTTAAACTTATAAACAATAAATGTCAAATTAGAATTCATGATAAACATGAGATGACAACTGTTTTCTGGCAAAGACAAATCCAACGATGAAAACTTATAGGGGATCAAACCCAGGTCTCCTGCATTGCAGGCAGATTCTTTACCATCTGAGCTACCAAGGAAGCCCTTTATAGTGGGGAAATGAATGCTTTTCATTAGATCTTTTTTCCAAATTCTGAATACATATTCCCATTCTTATTTCTTTGCACTAAAGGTGCCTAAAGGGAGAGCACTTGTAAGGAAAGTCAGGAGGGTAAGAAAACCGTAAGGAACAGAGAATCTGGGGTAAGGCAGGAGGCCCATGCAGCCCCACCAAGTTATCTACAAGTTTTTCATACTGGATCTTACTTGTGTATTGAAACTTTCTCACTAAGCCATGCTCCAGTAGCTACCAATTTTCAAGTTCAGTTCAGTTTGTTAGGTCACAGCAAATGTCTGACACCACTGAGCTAGTTTGTGACTGGTAACTAGGAGAATGAACTCCGTGTAACTAGGAGTTAGTCTGAGCTCCTTGGCATAGGGCTCTGGAATAGTAGAAGAAACACTTTAACTTTCAGCAGGAAAGGAGAAAAGTTCTCATTGCAGGTCTATTCCTAGAGAAGAGGACAGTGCCCACATGGGCTCTCCCCGGAGGGAGGCAGCCCCGTCTGGGCCAGCAAGTTCCACCTCCTCCTGTGTTGGCGCTTCTCTTCCACCTGCTCTGCTCAGACCTAGAGGCGGATGTTCCCGTTTTATGGTTTCTGTGCATTGTTAACCTCTTTTGCTGCAGCCTCTACCACATGTTGAAATGCCTGCCAGCTGGGCTGTCCAGGCTATCTCTGAAAGTACCACTTTCTATTCATGTTTGTGTTTTGGTTACAAAGACATACAAGTCTTGACAGGTTTACCCCTAAGCTTACTTGCACTGTAAGCAATGTTCTTTTAAATGAATTTAGAAGGCATCATTTTTTAGCAACATTTATCTCGTATTATAATAGAAATCCTGTACTTGGTTTCTACTTGAGCGTGTCTGCCTCTCTGTGACCCCGTGGACTGTAGCCCGCAGGCTCCTCTGTCCATAGAGTTCTCCAGGCAAGAATACTGGAGTGGGTTGCTATGGTCTCCTCCAGGGAATCTTTCCGACCTAGGGATTGAACCCAGGTCTCTTGTACTTTGGTTTATACTGAGTGGATGCTAAGTAAATGCTGACAGATTATTTATAATTAACTATATCACAAGAATTTTAAAAAACGACTCCAAGGAATGACTATGTTGACAATGAACCAAATTTCAAGAACACCTGACTTCTCTAGAATATAAAAACCTTTAAAAGTCATTATAATGTGCACAATATAGTTATCACTATTTTACAGAAACAGAAGCTAACTTTTCATTTTCAAAGACTGATGAACAATCATCCATTAGCTCTTGAAGTTGAATAACAGGAAACTGGACTTGTTTTTCAAACCATTTGGCAACTGTAAGAAGCTGCTGGTCACAAAATGCACGTCCAATAAACTGTAGTCCTATTGGCAACCCTTGGCTTGAGAGGGCCACAGGGACACTCACTGCTGGCAATCCTGAGGAAAGGAAAGAGACACATTAAATGTTGACCAATTCTCCACCCTAAGACACAGAGACCTCTTCCACTTTCCAGTGCCAATAGGTACAAGACAGGATAAGGGTTAAAAAAAAAAACACAAAAATTATGACATGTATGTTTTTGTATCTTCCTTTGTTCATTTAATATATCTAGGAAATCACTGTATATCTGTTCAGAGACTGTTTTCATTCCTTTTTTTTATAGTTTCATAGTATTCTACCATGTGGTTTTACCATACTTTATTCAACCATTATTCTATGGTTGGGGGGTTTTGATTGTTTTTAGTATTTAGTGATTTCACACCATGTCCCAGTGAATTACCTTGTCTATTTTTTCAGTATTCTTGAAAATTTCTCAGATGAAGAGGAATTGCTTCATCAAAAGATAAATGTATATATTAATTAGAAACTGCCAAATTCCCCTCCAAAAAAGTTGTACCTTTTGAACTTCCATCAGCAAAATGAGAGTTTCCCTACAGCCTCACCTATGGAGTGTGTTGCTAAGCTTCTTAGTTTTTTGTCAATTTTTTAGGTGAGAAATAGTAGCTCAGGATAGTTTTAATTTCAGTTTTGGGGTATCTCGTTATGCCATAAAACAAGGAAGTTTTAAAAAATTAATAGGGGCTAGTTTAAGGGTTACATACAACTTGGAGAGGTTCCTGTTAGTTAAATTTGAGCATCAAAAATAATGAGAATTACTTATAATACATTGAATTTTTTTAAAAAGGAAAGCTGTTCTATAGAGAAGACTGCTAGCTAAGATACAGAGAAGGAATGATAGAAAACTCAGCACTTTGTAACTCTCTAATACTGAATTCAGGCAAGGGTCATCAATAGATGCTAAAAGTGGGTTCAGGTTTATTGGGAAATACAGTCTCAACATATCATATCACTAATTGCTTACAACTGACAAAAGGAAAATGTGCCTTCATAAGGAAAACATCCGGTAGTTACTTCCTTAACCAAAGGATTCCCTTAGTTTCCACAGTGGTACGAACTGATATTAACTGTTTCTTGACATTTCATACTATGTATACAGTATTTGTGCCAAAAATGTTTAAATCAACCCAATCATGAGGAAGCAATCTGACAAATTCAGATTATGGATGGGATATCCTACAGGTCAAGTGGACAGGACTCCTCAAAAAAGTCAATGTCATTTAAAAAATTTAAAAGGTGGAAGATTTCTTATCAGTAACTATGAAGGCTAGAAGAAATTAGCAGGACATTCTGTAAATGCTAAAGAAAAGAACTGTCAAACCAGAATCATATATCCAGCAAAAATAAACTATAAAAATGAGAGGAAGATTGAGACATTCTCAGAAGAAAGCTAAAAGAACTGGTTGCTAGCAGATGTACCCTAAAAGAATGGCAAACTCTTCTCCAAACAGAAAGGATATGATAAAACAAAGAATCTTGATGGATCAGGGAGAAATAAACACAGTAAACAAAAGTATACAGATAAATACAACTGACTTTTCCCTCTGCTCCTGAGTTTTCTACATTATGTTTGATGATTGAAACAAAAATCGTAACAATCTGATGTGGTTCTTAATAAAAGAACATAGAGGCCTGGGGGATTGTTCCAGACTTTAGTAAGAGATATCATAAACAAACATATGCAGGAAAAACACCCTATAAAAGGCATTTTTGGTACAATTGAGAAAACTTAAATATGAACTGTATTTGGGTATTATTGTATTTGTGTTAGCCTTCTTAGGTATGATGATGGATGTCTTTATTCCAGATGATTCATGCTAAAAGTATTTAGGGGTAAAGTAACATGATGTTGAAACTTTCAAATTAACCAAGTAAAAGCTGTGTACATGTGTGTCTGTCTCGGGGTAAAGGGAGAGAGGAAGGAAAAAGCAAATCAAGCAAAATGTGAACAAGGATGAACCCAGGCAAAGGACATAATGGGTATTCATTTTATGACTTTTTAAAATCTTTCTGTAGGTCTGAAAATTAATGTGTGTGTGTGTGGTGAGTGCAAGTGTGTGTATGCCCATAAATGCACACACACCCACATGAACACACACACACACTCCTAAGTCTCCTAGAAGGACAAGCTATTGTGTTTAGGGAACAATCTAGCTAGAACCTAAGTTGAGGACCAGGACTGTCTACCTAAAAATCTGGAGAAAACCAGAATGTTCTTAAGGGATCCTCACCTGCCATATTGACAGCCTGTGTAAAGATGTCATCTTGGGCACTGCGCGTCCTGTTGTCTTCCTTGATGAATTCTGTGTAGGGCACTGCCTCACTCAAGGTCGTGGGAGTTAGCAGCACATCCACTCCAGAGTTAAAAACATTCACAAAATCATTAGCAATGAGCCGTCTCACTTTCTGTGCTTTGACAAAATAATTCTCATAATTTCTGTGGAAAAAAACAATAGTTGACATTTTAAGGGCTTTTTGTTATTTCTTTCAATGAATTCTCATGTATAAGACTTGTTAAAGAATCACTGGATTCTTGGCCTGTAGGAGCAGGTACCACTAAGATTCCCAACACATAAAAATCAATTTTGTTCAACCATGCTGTTATTCTAAAAGTAGATACAATTCTGCACATATAATCACAAATTATTAACACTTCCAGGGACATCATTAAACCAGAACATTTATTTTCAGGTGAGGAAAATCAAGGGTATAGCAACTAAATGACTTTCCAAAGGCTGCAAAGATTAGCGGTGGCAGAGGAAGGACCAGAATTTAGATCTCTGGAGGCGCATTCCAATCCCCTTTCTATTATAATGTCCTATTTCATCCATAGTTATAATTTTATAAGAGTTCTGAAGTTTTGGAGAATTCTAACACTAGAAAACAGGCTCTGGAACCAGTAACTGAGGAAAGTAGGCAGTGTTTGCAATTTTGTATTTTATAGACAGGAGTGGCCCAGAAATGGAAATGTGAAACTCCTAGAAAGATGCTTCAGGCTGCCTACTGAATGGGAGAAGATATTTGCAAATGATATACCTGATAAGGTGTTAATATACAAAATATGCAAACAACTCACAAAACTCAATATCAAAAACACAACCAACCAATGAAAAAAATGGGCAGAAGACCAAAACAGACATTTTTCCAAAGACATATGGATGGCCAACAAGTACATGAAAAGATGCTCACCATCACTAATCATCAGAGAAATGCAATTCAAAACCACCATGAGATATCACCTCACACATTTCAGAATGGCTATTATCAAAGACAACAAATAACAAGTATTGTCAAGGATGTAGAAAAAGGGGAACCTTCATGCATGGCTGGTGGGAATATAAAGTGGTGCAGCCTCTATAGAAAACAGTATGGAGATTCCTCAAAGAACTAAAAACAGAATGACCACACCATGCAGCAGTTCCACTCCTGGGTATTTATCCAAAGAAAACAAACACATTCGAAAAGATATATGCATCCCTATGTTCACTGCAGCACTGTTTACAATAGTCAAGATATGGAAACCACTTAAATGTCCACCAATAGATGAATGGATAAAGATGTAGTATATATACACAATGGAATATTAGCCATAAGAAGAATTAGATTTTGCTCTGTGGGACAACATGAATAGATATAGAGGCTATTATGCCAAGTGAAGTTAAGTGAGAGAAAAATATTGTATTATTTCACTTATCTGTGGAATCCAAAAACAAAACAAATGAACAAACAAAACTAAACAGAAAACATAGATAAACAGGTGGTTGCCAGAGGGGGAGGGTGGTGAGAGGGAAGGAGAGAAACAGGTAAAGGAGACTGAGTTACAAACTTTCAGGTATGAAAGGTACAGTGTGGGGGATATAGTCAGTAATTATGTAATATCTTTATATGGTGACAGATGACATCTAGACTTATCATGGTGATTGTTCTGAAATGCACAGAAATGTCAAATCACGATGGTGTGCACCAGGAACTGACCTAGGGTGCTGCAGGTCAATTATACTTCAAAACCAAACTCATACATAAAGTGATCAGATTTGTTGTTATCAGAAGTAGGAGGTGTAGGGGAAGGGGGAATAGGATGAAGATGGTCAAAAGGCAGAAACTTCTGGTTATGAGTAAGTACCAGGGATTTAACGTAGAACATGATAAATATAATTAACACTGCCATATGTTATACATGAATGCTGTCAAGAGCAAATCCTAAGAGTTCTCATTGTAAGAAAATGTTTTTTTTTCCTATTTTTTTAATGTTGTATCTATATGAGATGATGGATGTTCCCTAAACTTATTGGGCAATAAAAAGTAATAAAGGATATGGTTACTCCCCACACTCTCAAAGTAAAGGACATTTACTTTCCTGAAAAGATTGAGGAATTAGCCAGACCCAGGAGTGACTATAAGTCAATGATGGAAAGAAAGGGGGAAAAATACTCTTTAGATCCTCCTGCAGCTGTTAATGCAGGCTGGCAAAAGGATTAAGTATTTTACTGATAACTTGTTTCCTCACCTGTAAAAATGGATATAACAATTCCAACCTTGCATGGACCAAATACAATGAGATAAAAATGAGAGATCTTTTTTATCTTGAAAGAATGCTATAGAAATACCAGATGTGTTTATTATCATTTGACCACAGGGTCTATAGGGTGATGAATGCAGGCATCACATATAATTTACCCAGCAGCTGATGGCTTAAATAACATATTAACAGCATTCCCCAAAACTGAATTCTATAAAAGAACAAATACTTCTATTAAATTTCTTCCTACCTACTTCTAATATGCTTCAAAAGCACAGCTTTAAACAATCGGAAAACTAGACAAAATGGAAGTCATTTTCAGACATGAGACAGCAGGTATTCAGAAAAGAAGGAAAGCAAACAGCAAAGCCCTTTGATTTCTCCATTAATCAAATAATAGTTTTTGTTTTCCAGCTTTTGAGATATAATTGGAATATAAAATTCTGTAGTTTGAAGGCTTGCAACATGATTTGACATATGTATTTATTGCAAAATCATTACCACAGTAAGATTAGTTAACACACCCATCACCTCAGAGTTTTTTGTGTAGGTGGTAAGAACACTGAAATCTACTCTCAGCAGCTCTCAAGTATGTAGTACAGTGCTGTTACCTAGAGTAGTTAGGTTGTACATCACATCCCCAGAACTTACCTTATCCGCGGGAGTCTGTACCCTTTGACCAACATCTCCTTTCTTTCCCCAGCAACTACCACTCCACTGAGTCTGTGGCTTTGGTTTTTTTCTTCCCCCCTAGATTCCACATATAAGTGAGATCATACAGTATTTGTCTTTCTCTGACTTACTTCGCTTAAGATAATGCCCTCAAGGTCCACGCATGCTGTCACAAATGGAGGATTTCTTTCAAATAATAAATAATACTCTTTTGAATAATAATGAATGTTCCATTTGAATAATAATGAATGTTCCATTGTGTGTGTGTGGGTGGGTATACACACACAGAGCATATTTTCTTTTTCCATTCATCTGCCAAAGGACACTAGTTTGTTTCCATGTCTTGGCTATTGCGAATAATGCTGTAAGGTAGTGATTTCTTTCCTTCAGCTATATACCCAGAAGTGGGATTTCTGGTTCATATGGCAGTTCTCTTTTTAATTTTTTGAGGAATCCCCATACTACTTTTCAGAGTATCTGTTCACAGTATTTTTGGAAAAAGGAATGCTAACTACTGGCCCTAAGGAGATGCACAGATGAATAAAATGCTTTCTATTCATATACATAATATATCCATATATGCCCATTATATATATGCAAAACTCCACGAAGCTGTTCAGTACATTCTTGCTTTTTCACACTTATCATGTCCTCTTAAACAGACTTGGTGGTATGAAAGATGAATCCTATTCACAAGATGGTGAAAAACTTATACCAAAGTCATAGTAATTTAGAATTCTTTCCTGGAGCAAACAGATACAGGATACAAGAGGAAGTTTGGTTGATTCACTAACCTTTTAAAGCCAGACCAATGTAACTTCCTGATTAAGGCTCTCACAGCAGGAGGACAATGTAGCAATAACAGGGGACTTTTAATGAGGTTAAAACCCTTCAGGCTTCCTACTTAGCTAGCTAGAGCATCAGTGTTTTGTTTTTTTTTAATAACCAGGAGCCAAAAGTACCAAAAACAGGCCTTTACTTATGATTTCTAATTCAAATCATAAGGATTTTGCTTCCTTAGCAAAATTTATAAGACCTGACGGACATGCTACTACTTTACTCTGGAGTTTTCAAGAATGGGGAAAATTCCTGTATCGATTATCTTACTCTCTTAATAAGAAAAAGTTTCCTGAGAGGATTCTCCCTCTCACTACATCATTGAACCCTTCTCGCCTGGTTGCAGCATACATGGCTTCAGTAGACACGTCATTGTCACATCTGTGACCTGAAAACAAAAGAGATGAACATTACTTGAAAAGGAAGTAAAATTTTGGCTGAGAAGCAGGTCTAGAGTCACATTTGTGGCCAATACTAAAATTTCAGGAGATTGACTTTAATGGATTCTCTTCTTTACATGCCTTGGGACTAACTGACCCATCAGGAATCAAAAAAGAGAAGAAAATAACAAAGAGGGAAATTTGATTTGTTCACTCCCTCATTCATTCATTCATTTACTATGAGTTATGATGATGAATAGTGTGAGTATAATGCTAAAATGACAACAGTAAAAGGATCCACCAATTTACTTCTTTAAATCATTAACATCTCAGGCAACAATATTTTTTGTCACTAATAAATGAAAATGTTTGAGAAAACTTCCCTAAAAGTCCAAAACACAGGCACTTTACCATATTCTAGCCCATCAAATCTTGCCATGTTCGATGCCACTTCCGATGTACACAATACGTGGTAGCACATAATTGAGTAGCTGGTATGGGGCAGGGAGACTTCAATTACTTTGGCCCCTTCAGACTCGAAGAGATTAGCAGCTCTGGACCAAAGAGATTGTACTTCACTTGACAGTTCTGGTGTAAGATACTCCTAATTGGAAAAAGTCAAAATACAGAAATCAGAACATCCAAATAGATGGTTTTACAAAAATGTGTACTCCGGAACCTCTGGCAATATATTAGAAAACCTGATTAAATTGATAGTAGGTAGTTAGAAAAGACTGAACTAATTTAAGAGCATTTATGGCATGACAAGAACAATACTAGATATTGTGAACTGGATGTAATAATATTAAAGACTGGAGATCTGGTTGGAGAACTTATTAAATGTTCATTATGTAACGGGCATTCTGCTAGATGCTTTCCAAAGGCTCTCCCATTGAACGCTTTTTAACAGTCCTATGATGTAGGTACTATCATCCTTCATGTTATTAATGAAAAATATTGAGACTAGAGAAGTTAAGTAACCTTCCTAATGTTACACAGTAGGCAAGTAGAGGATCCAGGACTCCCAACTAGGTCTGTTTCTAAATCCTTAAAACTAGGCACACCTATTACCTTAATTGAAAATTTTAAAGATTTTACACTATTTCTCTACAGCAGTGCTCTCAACTGGGGGCAATTTTATCCTCTTCCTCTCAACCAGGGGACGTGTGGTAACGTCTACAGACAGTTTGACTTGTGGGGTAGTGGTGGTAGGGTAGGGTTGGGGATGCTACCTCGAGGGGCAGAGACCAGTGACGTTGCTAAACATCTTACAGTCCAAAAATGTACAGTCTCCCAGGACAAAAACTTATTGCTAAGCTCAAAATTAAACACTTAAAAGGTGAGTGATTTTACGTATCTCCTTTCATGTGCTCAGGTTACATAGCTAATAAAAGTGGCAAAGCAGCGATTCAAACTCAACCAGTCTGTTTCCCAAGTCTGTTGTCTGTATTTGACCTGACAGTACTTTTGTAAAGAGTTACCTTTGGAATTCCAATGCATAGTTTGCTCACATCTGTCAAACTGGGAAGCGTAAATGGTTTAACAGGATCTTGAATTGTGGTAGAATCTTTGGGATCATGCCCAGCTAGTATACCTGTAAATAAAAGTCTTTATGAGTGACAAACATTGTTTTTCAGTGAATTGATAATGCTTTGAAACTATATGGAATCATATAAATACCCAACACAGTGGCTGCATCATCCACACATCTGGTTAAGATTCCTGGCACATCCATTGAATTCACCAGAGGAATGAGACCATGACGAGAAACTAGGCCATAGCTTGGTTTTAAACCAACCACCCCACAGTGGGCAGCTGGATTTCTGGTTGATCCTCCTGTATCTGATCCTAAAGCCCTGAAATTTAAATGGAATTCTCTTTAGCAGGATAACATCTCTCTAATTATATCTGAAATCTATCTTTTTAAAATGTATACTTTTAAAATTGTTTTGATATACAAAAATAAAAAACATGCTCATAACAGAATTCTTAAAATATAGAAAACTGTAAAGATGTAACAGAATATTCTACCACTCTGAGGCAAACACACACTGCTAACATTTTGGCATATGAACTTTAAGTCTTTTTTTTTAATGAACTTTTCTTTCACAGTTCAGGTCATTCTGTAATCATAAGTTTCCATCTCTTTTTTGCTTATCATGAGACTTTTTACTATGTTATAAAGATTATTGAAATTTTTAAATATGTAAATATTCTATCAATTGGCAATTCCCAACTGACTCCCAGTTCCTATCACAGGAATTATACAAACTTATACAAATCTTTCAGTTCTTTATTTTTTTCATTGAGGTATAGTTGATTTACGATGTTAATTTCTGCTACACACCAAAGTGATTTAGTTACATACATATATATATAATTTTTTAAATATTCTTTTTCATTATGGTTTATCCCAGGTTACAGGATATAGTTCCTTGTGCTATAGATAAATCTTCTTGTTTCTCTATTCTGTATGCATCTACTAACCCCAAACTCCCAGTCACAAGTCTATTCTCTGTCTACAAGTCTGTTTCATAGAAAGATTCAATTTGTGCCCTATTTTAGATTTCACATATAAATAATATCATATGGTATTTGTCTTTCTCTGACTTACTCCACTTAGTATGATAATCTCTGGTAGCATCCATGTTGCTGCAAGTGGCATTACTTCATTCTTTTTTATAGCTGAGTAGTATTCTACTGTATACACATGCACCACACCTTCTTTATCCATTCGTCTGTCGATGGACATTTAGACTGTTTCTGTATATTGCGTACTGTGAATAGTGCTGCTATGCATGAACACAGGGGTGCATGTGTTGGTTTGAACTATTTTTTTGTTTGGATATATGCCTAGGAGTAGGGCTTCCCTGGTAGCTGAGTTAGTAAAGAATCACTTGCAATGCAGGAGACCCAGGTTTAATCCCTGGGTTGAGAAGATCCCCGGAAATCGCAACCCACTCCAGTATTCTTGCTTGGAAAACCCCATAGATGGAGGGGCCTGGCAGATTACAGTCCATGGGGTTTTAAGAGTCGGACACAACTTAGCAACTAAGCCATGCCTGAGAGTGGGATCACTGGATCATATGGTAATTCTGTGTTTAGTTTTCTGAGGAACCTCCATACTGTTCCTCAGTGGCTGCACCAACTTACATTTCTATCAACAGTGTAGGAGGGTTCTCTTTTCTCCACACCCTCTCCAGCACTTGTTTTTTCTAGACTTTTTAAGGATGGCCATTTTGACCAGTGTGTGGTGGTGTGGTACCTCATTGTAGTTCTAATTTGCATTTCTCAGTAATTAGTGATGTTGAGTATCTTTTCATGTACCTACTGGTCATGTCTTTTTTGGAGAAATATCCACTTAGGTCTTCTGTCCATTTTTTGATTGAGTTATTTGTTTTTTGTTGTTGAGTTGTACAAGTTGTTTGTACATTTTGGAGATTTGATTAAGCCCCTGTCAGTCACACTGTTTGCAAATATTTTCTCCCATTCTGTAGGCTGTCTTTTCATTTTATGGTTTCCTTTGATGTGCAAAAGCTTGTAGTTTGATTAGGTTCCATTTATTTTTGTTTTTGTTTCTGTTGCCTCAGAAGACCTAAGAAAACACTGGTACAATTTATATACATACAAATCTTATATCTTCTTTTAACAGCAATTTTATAGTATGCTTATACAAACTAAACACACCCCTCCCAGGAATTCAGATACAGCCATTCTGCTACCCCATTTAGAATCATAACTAGAAATGCATTCTGATTTATTTAAACTGTTATATTGTTGCAAACTAGAATAACTGCATAGTAGAGTACTTTGTAGGGAGTTCCCTGGCAGTCCAGCAGTTAGAACTCTGTGCTTTCACTGGCGAAGGTCTGAGCCAGGGAATTAAGATCCCACAAGCTGTGCAGCCAAAAATAAATAAATAAATAAAGCACTTTATAATAAACACCTTTAAACATAAGTCTTTGCCCATATATCTCTAGCTTCTAAGAGTTAATGGGTCAAAGGGTCTACCTGTCATTATAAGTTCTAAATATATTTTGTTAAATTACTTGTCAGGTTACGCCAATTTATATTCCCAATTGCAGTGAATCACACTGTTTTATCTTTCATGCCCTGGTGGCTCAGACAGTAAAGCATCTACCGCACTATGGGAGACCCCAGTTTAATCCCTGGGCCGGGAAGATCCCCTGGAGAAGGAAATGGCAACTCACTCTTGTATCCTTGCCTGGAAAATGCCATGGACAGAGGAGCCTGGTAGGCCACAGTCCATGGGGTCACAAAGAGCTGGACATGACTGAGCAACTTCACTTTCACCATCACTGAATACTAGCAGTTCTTAAAATCTGATTATTTTGATAAAAGATTTGTTAATGTGCATTTTGAGTAATTTTTCACACTTATTTGTATTTGCATTACTCAGCTATGAAGCGTCTGTTCATTTCTTTGCTCAGTTACCTATATAGTCTGTGTTTTTATTTAAAAAAAAAAAACTGAAAATAAGCCAAAGGAAAAGAAGCAAGAAAACAAAAAAAACGCAAAAACTGAACCAAAAGAAGGAACCAAAAGGGGCAAAACCAAAAAAGAAAAAAAGAAAAAAAGGCCTGCCAAAGGCCGGGGAAAAGGGGCGGGGGCAAATGGGAGGCTTTTAAGGAGTACAGACTTCCAAGTTTTGCAAGTCTCTAGAAACAAGTTCTAGAGACTGGCTGAGTGATAATGTGAATGTACTTAACACAACTGAATCGTATACTTTAAAAGGATTAAGATGAGAAATTTTAATTGTATGTATATTTTCCACAATTAAAAATTTTTAACTATTTCAGGAAAAGAGGTTTTTCAGATTAGAAAATTGCAATGTCCACTGTAAAAATTAAAATATTCATATGATCTGTAAAGTGAAATTTCTTATAATCAGTCCCCAGAATTACCACTTTTTATGTATATTTATCCAGATACTTCCATGCAACTAACATATTCACATATGTAATTGTTACTTTTAACAGAAATAAGGTCATATAATACAGACTGTTCTGCAACTTATCTTCCACTTAACCGTGTATTTTGGATTTCTTCCCATGTCATGACATAGTGCTGTAACTCATTCTTTTTAGTGGCTGCATAGTACTCCTAGACTTTTCCTGTTTTAAAAACTATTATAAAAGAAACAGATAGGGAAGGAAACAACTCAGAACACGTGACAATCTGGGCCCATTCAATCTGGAATCACTTTGGGCCTGAGCCCCTCCTGAGTACACCCAGACTGCAGCTTTGGGCTGCACAAGTCTCCTACCTGTCAATGGTCCTTGTGTCTACAGAAAATGCAAACTAACTGCCTTTCTTACCAAGTCCTCTGGAGCCACAGAATCAGATTGCTGCTTTCACGGTTTCTAAAAGGACACGTTTTCTTATTAGGATTCCCTGACAGCTGTGTAAAAGTAAAACCTACATTTCCATAGGAATTATGTGTCAAAGTGCCACCTTCTCAAAGCACATTCAGTAAGATGAACACTAAGTGGGGTGATGAGGATAGAAAAAAGCACCTAAGCTTGCAATCCTCCCTTGTCAGAACTCTCATTAATATTAATGTGGTACTATAAAATTCCACAGAGATAAAATGAAATGGTTTTACTTGTTAACAAAATTTCAGGGAAACTAAAAAAAAAAAAAAAAGAAACCTGTAGAATCTAAATCTCCATAGCTCTAAAAAAATATAAATAATTTATTGATTGCAATGCCTGTGAAACAGCTTAGTTTCAGTGGATAATTAAGGAGAGATAAAATATATATAGTACTACCAAAGGAAACATTCTATTCGGTTAAACTGAGACCAATAAAATAAATATTGTAACAGCAATATTTATTTACTCTTTTTTAGATGGTTAAGAAATGCTTTACAAATATGACTTAAGACATAAAGCATGATTGATGGATTCAGAATGCAAAGTATGACAATTGAACAAATCACCTCCCTACAAATTTGAAAAAACTCTACTTACTGATATATATTTTTAGTTGCAGATTTATAAAAACACTTCTTAAAATATTCTATTGATAAATATTAGCCTTTTCTTTCCATCCTTCCTTATTTTTTGGCAAAGTTGGGTTCAGCTGAAGGATGAATCACAGCTAATAATTTAGCTCAGTAGCATTCAACTAAAGCCAAGGTATGTTAATCTCTAAATATACGTATAATCAGTCAGCAGATACCCAAATAAATAATTTAAAAAATGAAATTCAATTAAGTCTGGTTAAGCTAACTGATTTATTCTTATTTTAGAAGATCTGTAAAATCATGTTTTAAAGAAGACCAGACACTATACAGGTAGGGTTTAAATGTCTTAAAGTTAATGTATAAAATATACATAAGTGTACTGTATAGTTGATGGTATTTCTAAGATACAATTTTGATAGACCACTGAGCACAAACAACTCACTAAGGAGAAATAAAAATACCAAGGTATGAATGAGTCTGTTGTTGATTTTGTGTACAGTTTATGATTCTAAAGTACAGATAGGAAAAAACATCTTACGCAAAGCACGTGAACGCTGACACGGCCGCTGCACTTCCTCCCGAGCTTCCTCCAGTTATGAGCCAATTTGAATCCTCATTCTCACTGTGAGAGTTCAGCTTCCTCTTTTCTCTATATTGTTTTGAATAACTCCACGGGTTTTTAACTGGTCCAAATATGCCATCTGTGCTTCCAGATCTGAGACGAAGAAGTGAAGCAAGCTATCTTAATAANCTTCCTCCAGTTATGAGCCAATTTGAATCCTCATTCTCACTGTGAGAGTTCAGCTTCCTCTTTTCTCTATATTGTTTTGAATAACTCCACGGGTTTTTAACTGGTCCAAATATGCCATCTGTGCTTCCAGATCTGAGACGAAGAAGTGAAGCAAGATATCTTAATAAAACTCTATGTGATCTCCTGATTACATTATTTGCTTCTAACACTGTATAAATCCACTGTAACTTGAATTAGAAAAGGTAGGAAGGCTGCTGAGTTGTAGCTTTCTTGAATTAGATGGTTGAGGAGTTGAAGGATGAGAAGTAAAAGCATTTGTGGTAGAAAGTTGGGAAAAAACCACTCTGTTAAGAAAAGGAAATTTTAATCCCAACTGATAATCCAATTCAGCGTAAGATGATTTTCTTCATAAATTAAGGTCTTCCAATTGCAAAGTGTCACAAACATCCAAACAGTTAACAAGTAGTCTTTTGAAGCCATTCCTCTTTTAATCAGAAGTTTTTAAGAGGGCAATTCCCTGGCAGTCCGGTGGTTAGGACTCCACACTTCCACTGCAGGGGGCACAGTTCCCACCTCTTGCTGGGAAACTAAGATCCCACAAGCTGTGTGGCTCAGCCAAAAAAAATAAAAGAACTTTTCAGGGAGATATTCTTAGTGAATGCTAATAACCTTTTTTACTTTTGAAAAAACTTCAACCTAATAGATTATAAAAATAAAAACAGTATGAAAAAACTTACACCCTTTACCCAGGTTCACCTATTGTTCACATTTTACCCTATTTGTTGTATCATTTGTGTGCTGTGTGTGTGTGGCCGTGCATATTTTTCCTGAACTACTTAAGGGTAAATTATACATATTATGGCCCATTACCCCAAATACTTTAGTATGTATTCAGTATGCTTTTCCTAAGACAAAGTATAGTCTCTTACACAGTCACAGTATAGTTATCTCAGTAAATTTAACAGCAATACAATACTTTTATCAAATCTACCACTAATCCAATTTTGTCATTTGATCCAATAATGTCCTTTATAGCATATGTCCTTTTTCCAGTATAGGATCAAGTCTAGAGTTGAGAATTATATTAAAACTTTTCTCTTTAACCTCTTTAACTTTTTTCACCAACAAAGAACACTGAATTTTTTTCCTGATTTAAGCAATTTGAATAAAGCCACAATAAATATTGCAGTGAAAGGCCCCAGCCAGTGCTTTTGTATAAACATAAGCCTTCATCTCTTGGGTAAATACCTAGGATTGAGATTGCTGGCTCTTATGCTAAGTGTATGTTTATAAGAAACTGCCAAACTATTTTCCAAAGTGGCTATATTATTTTGCATTCCCTACCAGCACTGTATGAGAATCCAGTTGTTCTCTATCCCTGTCAGCACTTGATATTGTCATTTTTTAAGCCATTCTAATTATTAGGTGTATGTACTTCAGTGTGGTTTTAATTTGCATTTCCTTAACGACTAACCATGTTTGATGTGTTTGTCTGTCAACTGTTTATCTTCCTTGATATTATTGAGTTGGAAGAGTTTCAATATATACTGGATACCAGTTCTTGGTCAGACATATATCTTGCAAATATTTTTGCTAAGTATGTGGCTTGTTTTTTTCATTTTTAACAGTGTATTAAGTACAAACGTTTTTAATTTTAATGAAATTCAATTTACCAGTTTTTAACTTTACAGACTGTACTTTGTCTTCCATCTAAGAAATCTTTGTATAATTCAAGGTCACAAAGATTTTCTCCTACACTTCTATGAGTTTTAGGTGTTTTTTTTTTTTAAATACTTATTTATTTAGTTGCAGCTCATAGGATCTTTAGTTGTGGCATGTGGGATCTAATTCCCTGACAGGGATTGAACCTGGGCCCCTCGGCATTGGAAGCATGGAGTCTTAGCCACTGGGCCACCAGGGAAGTCCCGAGTTTTAGGTGTTAATTTCTTCAGTCTCTTTTAATCTGGAACAGTTTCACAGCCTTTGTTTTTTTTATATTGACATTTCAACAGAAGATATCTCATTTCAGATTTGTCTTTTGTCTCCTTGTTATTAGCTTCGGGTTACACATTTTCAGCTGGAACACTGCATAGGTGATGGTGTTCCTTCCCAGGGAAGGAGGTACAGAGTATCACTGCACCCTCATTGGTAATGTTCATATTGACCAGCCATTCAAGGCAATGTCCTAAAAACCTAGGTTCAAGTTTACTCCCACAGATTTATTTATTCAACACATATTTACTAGGTTCTAATAGATACCAGTTTTGGAGAGTCAAGGAATCTGCTTCTATGAAATAGGAAACACAGACCAAACAAATATTACAAACAATACAAATGGGGAAATAAAAAGTGCTTCTGATGAAAAACTAAATGTTTTCCTCGTGATCAGGAAAAAGGCAAGGATATCTGCTCTTATCATCTTTATTCAATATTGTACTTAAGGTCCTAACTGGTGCAATAAGGCAAGATAAAGAAATAAAAGTGTCTCTATTGTAGGCTACAAGATCATTACATAAAATATACCAAATAATCTGTAAGATCAGCTAGAATTAATAAGGGAGCTTAGCAAGATCACAGGATAAAAATAATAGGTTAACACAGAAAAGTCAGTTACATTTCTATGTATTCTAACAATGTTAAACAATTAGAAATTGAAAATAACATTTTCTGTAATAGTAAAGAAACATGAACTATTTGGAGATAGATATGGCAAATTATGTGTGAGATTCATATATAGAAAATCATAAATATTGCTGAGAAAAAGTCTAAATAAATGGAAAGGTAGAGTCATACATCAGAAGGCACATATTAAGATGTCAATTTTCTAAAATCTAATCTATAATAATACCACCACAATAAAAATCCCATTAAGCTTCTCTGAAATTATTAAGTCAATTCTAAAACTTATATGGAAATGCAAAGGACCTAGCATATGCTAAATAATTTGAAGAACAACAATGAAGATGGACTCATACTACTTAATTTCAAGGCTTACTATGAAGTTACAATAATCAAGATAGCATGATAATGGATTAGGGATACACAAATCAACAGAACAGAATCCAGAAATGGACTTATACATATGTTGGACTGATTTTTGGCAAAGGAATCAAAGTAATTTAATTTGAATTCCTACAGTCCCAGATATATAGGATAGACATATGCAAAAAAATGAACTTTTGCTTCTTCACATAATATACAAAAAATTAACTGGATCCCAATTTTAAATTTAAGAACTAAAACTATAAAACTTCTAGAAGAAAACATTGGGAAAAAAGTCTTGATGACCTTGGAAAAGGTAAAGCTTTCTTGGAAAAGACACAAAAAACATGAGTCATTAAAGGAAGAAAACAATGAACTGGACTTCATGGACTTTTGCTATTTGAAAGGCATATTCAGAGGATGCAAAGACAAGCCAGAGACTCAGAGAACATATTTGCAAATCACCTATCTGATAATGGACTTGAATCCAGACTATATGGGAAAAAACTCTTACAACTCACTGAGAAGATTTGAATAAATACTTCACCAAAGATATATGGATAGCAAAATAATCACATGATCATCAACACTGTTAGTCATTGGGGAAATGCAAATCAAAACCAAAGTGAGTTATGATCTATCCGCAGAACACAATCTCTCGTGGAGGGACTGAGAAACTGGCAAGGGTCCTCATGAAATCACCTCACTACTCTTAGGTGAAGGGACTGAGGAATACTGGCAAGGGGCCTCACGAAATCACCACACTACTTTTAGGTGAAGGGACTGAGGAATACTGGCAAGAGAGGCCTCACGAAATCACCACACTACTTTTAGGTACCTACACATAAGGAAATTGAAGAGACAGATGAAAGAAATACAGGAAAAGAAAATTTTAATTTTACTTACCCCATAGCAAACTCATCTAAGTTTGTTTTTCCCATTAGTAGAGCTCCCTGATCCAACAACTTCTGAACCACTGTGGCATTATAAGGTGGTACATAACCTGAAAAAAATTCAGTTTTCTTTAAAAAACAAAAACAAAAACAAAAAAAACCCTGAGGTATAGCTGATTTAAATGTTATATTACAGGTGTAAAACATAGTGATTCAAATATTTTACAGGTTATATTCCACTTAAAGTTATTATAAAATGTTGTCTATATTCCCTGTGCAGTACAATATACTCTTATGGCTTATTTATTTCATACATAGTCATTTATACCTCTTAATCCCCTCCCCTTCCTTGCTCCTGTCCTCCTAAAAATTCAGTAATTTTTCTCATAGGAAAGAAAACAGTGAACATGTAAATCCTATGTAAGAAACAATTTTAAACTGCGATTAAGCAATTCATATTGACAAATGCTACTTATTCCTAGTTTAAGTTGTACTTTCTTCTGAAAGTTAATTTTTTTCTGTTGCTGACTGCTATATTTTCTAAAGAAAGTCTCTATATTCACCATCTTTATAATCTAAAAATATTGATGTTAATAGTACTACAAAATATTGAATGATAGAGAGGTACCCAACTCATTTGAAATTAATCACAAATCATTATTCTGCTCATTGCACTGACTTTTTCTTCTCAGATGTGCTATATCACCCAGCAATTTTTATCTATTTCCAGCAGGAATAGATCTTTATTGTCAAGTAAAACTTCCTCTATCTAGTGTATATTCGCAAACAATTAACAACAGTCTACTTTATCAGAGGAACTTGGGGCATACACCTCAGAATATTAGTTTTAGTGTGAAGTTCTTTATCCTTTTTCCATTTCTTTTTCCTCCTAGGATCCAACCATATATTGATAAATATGATTCCTTTTTGACCTACTAAACTTCAAAAATTAAAACTAAGCATCATTATACTAAGTATAGTGATATAAGGTGGAGGAGCCAGGAGATAAAAAATAATCAGATAGTAGATGTTACTAATAATAAATCCTTATACCATCTGCAAAAGAGGGGTAATGACAGCCACTTTATACTTATTTCTGCACTGTCAACGGGTGGAGGTTGGAGGCGTCAGAGTTCACCGAGTGTGTTTACAGTGGCGTTAGCTTCCTAAATAGGATTCCTCTGTTAGGCAGGCCTACCCCTGAAGAATAACTTTGCATTCTGAGGGAGCAAATAGTAAGAAGGTAATATTCCACCCTAAGTTATTTCCTTTGCAGGTATAATTAGTCTAAGATATCTTGGTGCATTAGTATCTTATCTTTAATTTAAACTGAAAAACACTTATTTTTATAAAAACAATGCTCAGGCTAGTTAAACTTTACCTTTCAGCATGTTCGATGCACAGGTTGTCTCAATGCCAGACGTACTAAAGTTATCTTTTACTGCAACAGGAATTCCATCTAAATCCCCCAGTGAGTGACCTGCATTAAGAAACCAAAAGAATAGAAAAAATATCTAGTTCGAAATACAGAGACATTAATCCTAGTTATTAAGACAGCTACTAGCTTCTGCTAAAGATACTTCTTCAGAAATCAAATTTGTGTTAGAAATTATTACGAGTTGGACATTATAAAGCACCACATACCTATTAGTCTCATTTTTATTATACCTCACACCAGTTCTTCTTTTAAAAAATAATTTTATTTGGCCATACCACGAGATTTGAGGGGTCTTAGTTCCCCAGCCAGGGACTGAACATGAGCCCCCAGCAGTGGAAGTGTGGCGTCCTAACCACTGAACCTCCAGGGAATTCCCCAGGTCTTTAAATAAGGGAAGGTTTTTTTATGTTTAAAGCTCTACCTGCCAAATGGAGACTGCTATATCCAATTAAACTCACTCTCTCGGAATGTAACAATTAAGGACAATTCAAAGTAATTTACCTTTCCTATACCTTTTCTCTGATTCTTCGGCTTGCTTTAAGGCCACTTCTTCTGATACAGTGATGTAAGCGTTTAGAAACTTGGTCTTCCTGATGAGGGAGAGACATCTCTGACAGAGCTCGGTTGGCGTAACCTGGCCTTGTTTCAGTGCTGCAGAAACCTAGGAGGTACACAATTCAAAAAAATGTTTGCTGAGTCTGCAGAAGTATCGAATGTTATACTGAGACAGGCAGATAGAGTGGTTAAATGTAAAAATTTGAAGTGAGGTTTAGCTTCAACACCAAGACGAGGCACTACTGTGGCTTTACATGCATTATCACTTTATTTAGCCTTTAAAACCACCAGCTGATTATTAACCTCACTTTATAGATAAATTAACTGAAGCTCAGAGAGGTTAAGTGATTTGCTCAAAGTCACACAAACAGTAAAGGGTAACTTCTTAACATCTGCTCCTTCACGATTTCTCTCTGCACCAGTGGAAGCTTAGCCTGTCCTGTATGTTGACTGTATTTTCACGTGTCCTAATGTGTATCAAGCAGTAGGAGTTTGCGTCTAGGGGGAAATCTGCAAGTGTTCTGCTTTGAACTGTTGAATAAATCATCAGAGAGGTGGTATTCTTAGGCCTGAGGGTGTTGAGCTGGAAAAGCAGTGTGAACAGGCCACTGAGAGAGCCCCTATTGATGCCCAGGAGGAGGAAAGGGCTACCATGGGGATACTGGGAGGGTGGGGGTTGGTGAGGGGCAGCTGGGCTCGACTCAAAGGAGACAACTGAATGTCACAAAAGAGGTATTACTGCTGAATGGTTTGTATGACTCTTGAGAAGAGTGGAGCTGAAAAGAAAGAAAAGACAGCAGTGTGTTGTGATACTGTAAATATGGAGCAGGCTTACGTAAATAGGCTGGGTGCAAGAATCAGAACTTACAGAAGCACATGGACACAGAGATATATAAACAGGCCTAGTGAAGTGAAGCAGCTCAGTCGTGTCCGACTCTGCGACCCCGTGGACTGTAGCCTACCAGACTCCTCCGTCCATGGGATTTTCCAGGCAAGGGTACTGGAGTGGGTTGCCATTGCCTGCTCCAGAGGATCTTCCCGACCCAGGGATTGAACCCGGGTCTCCCACATTGTAGGCAGACGCCTTACCGTCTGAGCCACCAGGGAACTCTCATCAACAGGCCTACCCCAGAGCAAAACTGTAAACATGAGGAAGATGATGTCTGCTACTGCCTCCTCTTGTTTGTCTCCCCTCAAGTCGCCTAAGGCCCATCATCCTCAAATTGCCTGCTGACTCACCAGCTGGCATGACAGGAAGAGGTAGAGTTGCAGCTGTGGTTACAAAGGCAAGAAATGAGCCTGTCTGCAGCATTCTTTACTTAGTGACGTGTAACTGATTCACAGGGCTCTGCTGGGTCCAGGTATGCAGCAGAATGATTCAGTCACAAATACAAATGTGTGTCTTTTCTTTTCCCTTATAGGTTACTGCATAATATTGAGTGTATTTCCCTGTGCTATAAAGTAGGTCCTTGTGTGTTCTCTGCTTCATGTGTAGTAGTGTGTATATGTTCATCTCAAACTCCTAGTTTATCCCCTCCTCTTTCCTTTTGGTAACCATAAGTTTGATATCTATGTCTGTGGGTCTATTTCTATTCTGTATATAAGTTCACTCATATCATTATTTTTTAAGATTCGATGTATAAGTGATATCATATATTTGTCTCTGGCTTACTTCACTTAGTATGATAATTTCTAGGTCCATCCATATTGCTGCAAATGGCATCATTTCATATTTTTTTATGGCTGAGTAATGTCCCATTGTGTAAATATAGCACATCTTCTTTATCCTTTCATCTGTTGGACATTCAGGGTGTTTCCATGTTCTGGCTATTGTAAATAGTCCTGCAATGAACACTGGGGTGCATATATCTTTTCAAATTACGGTTTTCTCTGGATGTATGCCCAGGAGTGGGACTGCAGGGTCATACAGTAGCTCTATTTTTGGTTTTTTAAGGAAGCTCCATACTGTTCTGGGAGTACTCATTTTAAATGGTGATCTTTGTTAGGACCATATTTAGGAAATCTAGATTTGAGAAAATCAATAAGGGTACTGGAGAAGGGAAATGAAAACAAAGATGCTAATTAGCTAGAATGGACTAGGCATAAGGATGTGACAAATAAATAGTACAGATCCCCTGGAGCAAAACTAAAAGTGTCATATCTGAATAGAAGATGAAATCAAGTGGAAAAGTTTTCATTAAGAAAACAAATTCTCTCTGCCTAGCATTTCTTTTCTCTAATGGAAACTAGACTTTTCCTTAAGGCCACTGCTTCTCCTGCAGTTTTCCCACAGGATGGCTGTTTTAGTTCTTACTTACCATGCACCAGAGTCCAGTGGGGAAGGGAGATGGTGTGGGCAGGTGTTACCCTTGTCCTCAAAGCCTTTTCCTTGCCTCTGTTCTCAAAACCCCCAGTTCATCTGACGCACAGGTCCTGGAGGAGATTATATTACTCTCCTAACAGTCTCCTTGGTACTCCTTTTCATTGATGAAAGATTTTAGCAGCCGGTTCACTGTAGCTATTTTTGTTGACTTCAAACTTCACGTCACGTACACTGACACCGGGTCTCAGTTCCTGAACTCCCTTGACACAAACTCTTCACTTCACTCCAGTGACCCACTCGCATGGCCACAGCCCAGACTATGTCATTACCAGCATCTGTGTATTCTCCCAAACCTCAGTTCTAATCATCCCACATCTCCTGTCTCCTGAGCTCATTCACTCTACCACCCAGCAAGAAAACTCAGTCCTCCAACCTCAAAGCAATGGACTCTGCCCCCAGTGAGGTGGAAAGAGGATCCCAAGGCATCCAAAGAATCTGCAGCTCTGGTTGACACCTTATGTCCAGCCTTGTGAGACTGAGTAGAGAAGCCAGCCACGCCAGCCCTGACCCACAAAAGTGTGAGATGGTAAGACTGTGGGTGTTTTAACACTGTGTTATTTTAAGACAAATTTGTTATGCAGCAATAGAAAAGTAATACACCTTCTTAGAAAAATGAGGAAATCTTCCACAGGAACTACTCTTCTTAGAGAACAAGGGAAAAGAAAACTATAAACACATATAATCTAGTAATTTTGTCACTGTAACCAAATCAGTGCTAATAATAGCCCTTAGTTCCACTTGTTATCCTATATGTTTTACATTTCATTTAACCTTTATATCTACACTAACAGGCTGCTATTATTATTATTTCCAACCTATAGATAAATTACTGAAGTTCCTGCTTAAAATCACATAGCTAGAAAGCAACAGAGCTGGGATTCAACTAAGGTCTGATCTTGTTTCTGAAGCCCATGCTCCACTATACTCCACTACTTCTCTGTGCAAAGTGTAACAGCATTTACTCCTCTGTAACTGATAGACAACATTTTACTAACTTCACAGGTATCAGTAACATCAGAGAGTCACTGAGGAAAAGAACTGTCTTTCAAAAGAAAAACTGTCTTGATCAATGCTGAAGGTATAGAAGAGCCCTTGGAAGCCGAGTGTCTGGTTGACTGGTACTCTCTTTAACACACCCATTTAACATCCTTGCTTTTGTCTCCACTGTTCCAAGAAACAGCACCTCAGGATCACCAGTCAGCGTCACGTTCCTAAATCAGCAGTCACACTCAGTCTGGGTCAGCTTTCAGCATCACCCCCTCCTGGGAGCACTTCTCCTCCACCTGTATTTCAGGACACCAAGCCCTTCTGGTTTCCTCCGGCCTTACTGGCCATTCCTTCAAGTCTCTCTTGCTAGCTGTGCTTCCCACTGCTGACCTCGAAATGTTGGAAAGTTTTATGCCGCCTTCTATATTTACACTCACCTTCGCAGGTGATCTCATGTGACCATATAACTTCAATTATCTCCTCCACTCTGGCCAACTCATATCTTCATAGCTAGCTTCTCTCTTGATCTCCACATTCCTATATCCATCTGCTTAACCAACCTTTTCGCTTGGATATCTTTGGAGGCATCTCAAAATTATCCTGTCTTGATAATTTTCTCCTCACAACATGCTCCCTGTAGAGTCTGTCCCATCTTGATGCTGCGTGCTGTGCTGATTTGTGTCTGACTGTGTGTGACTCCATGAACTATAGGCTGCTAGGCTCCTCTGTCCATGAATTCTCCAGGCAAGAATACTAGAGTGGGTTGCCATTTCCTTCTCCAAGGGATTTTCCTGATCCAGGGATTGAACCCGCATCTCCTGTGTCTCCTGCACTGGCAGGCAGATTCTTTACCACTGTGCCACTTGCCCAGGCCCCAAATCTAAGCATCCTCCTTAACTCGTCTCTTTCCATCAAACCTACATCCAGTCCGTCAGAAAGCCCAAACTTAAGAAACGAAACCCCTATTTTGCATTACTTCTGCTCCCACCACCCTGTCCATGCCGCATTAACTCTTGACAAGGCAATGGCCTTCTAACTGGCCTCCCTGCTTCTCCATTTGCCTTCCTCCAGATCACAATCCTGAGTAGCCTGGAGGTTTTTAAATTGTAAATCAGATCATGTCCAAAGACACAACCTTCCAGAGGATTTGCGTTACATTTAAAATAAAACCTACATTCCTTCCCCTGGCCTGAAAGGTGATCTGGTTCCTGCTTCCCTAACCTCATCTTCCACTCCTCTCCTCCTCGTTTAGTTCTCTTGGGTGAGAAGAGAGCTTCCTTGAACATGTCAAGTTTGCCCCTGCTTCAGAGACTTTCCACTTACTCTTCCTCCTGCCTGAAAGACCCTTCTCTCAGTTCTTCCCAGGGTTTACCCTCTTATCGTTCAGGCCTCTATTATATATCAGAGAAACTGATATATCAGAGAAACTTTCTGATCAGAGAAACTGATCAGAGAAACTTTCCTGATCACTCTAAAACATCCATATCCCCCAGCTAATTCTCACACTAGACTCTGATGCTGGAAAGACTGAGGGCAGGAGGAAAAGGGGCGACGGAGAATGAGATGGTTGGATGGCATCACTGACACAACAGACATGAGTCTGAGCAAATTCCAGGAGATGGAGGAGGACAGGGAAGCCTGGTGTGCTGCAGTCCATGAGGTGGTAGAGTCGGACAGGACTGAGTGACTGAGCAACAAAATAGCCTGCTTAACCTTTCTTCATAGCACCTCTACTACTTGAAATTATAGTATTAAACTTATTTAATGCCTCCTTCCCCACACAAACGTAGGTTTCATAAGGGCAGGAATTTCTGTCTTCATATTGATCCTCAGTGTTTAGAACAGAGGTGCTCAATAAAGGTTAACTGAAGGAATGAACTGAGTTGTTTAAAATTTGGAATCTATTTTCCCATAGAACAGTAATTAAATGTTCTTAGGCTAGACCCCTAAGAAACCTATTGGATATAAAATTCATTTTCTTTAATATAACAATAATCATTTAATATAAATATAGGGCCAGTAATACTAGTATGGTGTTTGGTTCCTAGAAACACTGGGATCAGGCCACTAAAAAACAAAGATTAAAAGTAAGACTCTTCCCCTTCCTGAACGTACCTGACTAAAATTTACAAGTAGCAGTTTTATCTCCCATTTGGCATTTTACCTCCTTTTAGTGCTTCTCTATAGCTCAAATGGATTCAATCCCTGGGTTGGGAAAATCCTCTGGAGAAGGGAATGGCAGTCCACTCCAGTATTCTTGTCTGGAGAATCGCATGGACAGAAAAGCCTGCTGAGCTACAGTCGATGGGGTCGCAGAGAGCCGGCCACGACTGACTGACTGACACACACATCAGTGTTTCTTCCCAGGGCTCCTCTATCGCCCTAAGCCTCCACTCAGGTCCCTCAAGTTGTCTCAAAACACCACAGTTTCCAGTCCTTCCCCAAATCCCCTCCCCTACAAATTTTCTCTTCCTTCAATGATAATCTCAGCCAGAGGGTGATGGAGAGAAATCTGATTGTTATCATTACAATGGATAAACCATTCAACTGTCCCAGGCATCTTTACGTATGGAATGTGTAAAGATCCATCTTTAAAATGGAATATGTACTAAATTAATCTCTAATTCATAGAATTTGGGGCACTGGTACAATGATGTGGAAATAACAGAGTGGACAGAAGATATATGAGGGTCAGGGAAAATAACCAAATAATGTTTTGCACAATAGGCATCAATAAATATTTGTTAAAAGAGTGACTAAGTGAAAGTAATCATGTCAAGGCAACTTTCTGGCTACCCTTGGGTTAGATTCCCTAAACATATTTTCCCCCTTGAGTTAACAATTGTTCTCACAATGGCTCACTGGACATTAGTGAGGAAGGGTGGCACAAAAAAGGTAGTGCTGGGGGAAAGGGCAGAAAAAAAAATACCCCATTTTTTAGGTTGTATTTCATTTTACATTAAGTTTGTAGTTAAAAAATATTAAAAAAAAATTTTTCAAGAACAAATTAGATTGTTTACTGACAGTATAAGCAAATGCAATTTAGTCTGGTAAAACAAAAATGTATTGAGGGAATAGCTGTTTATTACTTAAAGCTGATGAATTTAAAGTTCTCATAATTTATAGTTTTCTAAAAGGTTGCCAGCTGGAAAAAGAAAAAGACTTCCCAAGTGAAGATATAAATGGAAGATGGAAGGCAGATGGAAGCTGGGGTAGGTCCTCAATTGATAATCTATCAGCAGAATCACCTGGGAGCTAAGGTTAAACCATATCCTCTGGGCCTTACCATAGTGACCTGCATGAGGGGGACACAGCTGTAGTTTTTAAGGAGGGCCCAATGTGATTCTGATAGCAGTGGGCCTGCTATCAGACAGCTCGGCAGGTTGGGAGATCTGTGCCAGAAAGCAAGGAGATCTGAATTAAAGCCCTAAGAGCAGGGATAAAATGAGAGAACAGACTCCAGACATAATTTCAAAAAAGAATGAGCAGAGTTTAGTGACCTACTGGACATGACATATAAAGAAAAATCTAAGGGCAACTGGAATAACAGTTGTATCCTGAACAACAGAATATCAGAAATCAGGTTTTTGTTTTTTATGATGTAGGTTGACAGGCAAGAGGTGGTTCTGTTACAATGCTTAAGTCAACTTTGGTTAAATTGAGTCTGGGGTGCTTGTGGGACATTTGGAAGAGATGTCGGGAAAACATTCACAAATATAGCCTACAGTCCAAAAATGAGGTGGAGGAAATGGAGACACAGGTAAGAAAATCGTTGGTATCTTGGAGGTTCTTGAAGCTTGGAGAATGAATATATGGGGGGTGGGGGTGGGGAGCTAAGAATCACTAGTTTGGCTTTTGCAAGGGACAGATTTGCGGGCTCCTTACTGAGGGCTGCATCAGATGAGTGTAGCGGACAAGGACTAGCTAAATCCCCCTTATATGGCAGAGCCTACCTCGAGGCCATCAAGGGCTGGAGGCAGCCTGAGCTAACGAATAATCGAGAGAAGTCACTCTGCCTTCCACCCCACAACGCCGCGGTGCAGAAGCCTTCCCCGCTGAGAATGTTAACTCCGGAAGGATACAAGGAGCACAGCCTAAGGACTCGGAGGTCCGAATCCCCCCAAGTTCTAAGGAAGAAGGCAGGGAGGCTGACCAAGACATGGTCAGGAAGGGGGGGACCCCTCGTCCACAAGAACAAGGATTCCCCGAATCTTCCCGGCCTCTTGGACCCTCAGCAGACAATTCGACTCACTTCTCGGAGGGTCCGGCCCAGCATGGTCCTCGTGCCCCGTCTGCCACCACAGGGACCAGGTGACGAGGAGGAAAACAGAAAGGTCAGTTGCAGCTGCTGGTATTACATGGGCGCAGCCATCTTTGATCATCACAGAACCTGTCAGCACCGAGCTCTCGGATTGGTCGAATTGCAGCCCAAGGCAAATGATCTTTGCACACGATTGGCTGGCGCCGCTAAGCAAGTCCCGAAGGGAAAGAGAAAGGGTGGCAAGGAGACTCCGGGCTGGGGTCGCGGCGGAAGCCTGGAAGCGTGAATTTCTGTGGCGTCTGGATCGCGAGAGGAGTCGGCTTCTCCCGCAGAGGACTTCCGGGACAGGGCAGGATTTTAGGGGTTTTGTTTTCAAGGGGAGCGGGTGTAAGGAGGAGAATGAATGGCATACTGATTGGAATGTTAATTGGAGCATTTCAGATGTGAAGAGTAAAGTAGATCCATACTCTTCTTACTTTGATTGCTCCTTTAGTCTGTCTTCATTTTAAAATTCTCAGCTTTGAAATCGGCCAGGGTGTTTGGCAGAATTTGACGGAATTCAGGTGTGAGGGGTTGATCCCGTTTAAGTGCCTTTTAATTAGGGCACGTGATTCAACCACTGTTTACAATGGGATTTTTGAAGACTTGTGTGTTTAGAAGAAATGCATACACTGCGGTTTGCCTTTGGAGAAGCCAAGTTGTACAAAAGCCTTCAGTTCGAAAAATTAGTACTACCTCTCCAAGAAGCACTGTCATGCCTGCTTGGGTGATAGATAAATATGGGAGTAATGAAGTGCTTCGATTTACCCAGAACATGATGATACCAATGATTCACTATCCAAATGAAGTCATTATCAAAGTTCACGCTGCAAGTATAAATCCTATAGATGTTAATATGAGAAGTAAGTTTCAAAAGACATTGCTCATTACCTTTTTTTTTTTTTTTTAACTTGAGACAACCTCATCAGGGATCAGTTTTAAAAGATTAGTTGTTATTGACTACTTTTGGGGGGGTTAACACAAAGAAATGGTTTAGTAGGTATTTCAGAAATTTTTGAACTGGCAATGTCCATGGTATGCTTTAATCTTTTACAAAATATAAGTTTGAATTGCTTCCAGTGCTACCTTAAAAATGTAAATTGGGACTTGAGAATTGTATCCACAGCTAATTTTCTGGTACACTTTGCTGGGAACTTTATGATATTCTGAGGTCCATTACAGGTTTTAAAGGTATGGTTATAATGTCACATCAGTTCAGAATTTGCCTTTCGTAGTAATTTGTGTTTGCCCTTCCACTACTCCCAGCTTTTTCTAATGGTCCAGTGGACAAAGCAGCAGAACAGGACGCCAAGATATGGACACAGTACTTTTCCTCATTTTGTTGTTGCGTTCTGCCCTTGGAAGTTAAAATACGCTTTTCTCTTGTGCTCCATCTTCAATGGAAATAATGTTATCTTAATTTCTGCTAGGGGTTATTGACAAAGCTTGGAGTGCACTATATTCCTTATGCAGTTATTACAGTGCTGAAAAGATTGATTACTGTTTGTGAATTACTTTAACTTTGGAAAATAATGACAAAAAGTGAGCAATTGAAATGTGGCGAGTCTGAATGGGGATGTACAGTTAGTGTAAAATATACACTAGATTTCAAGACTTAGTAAAAAAATGAGTGTAAAATGTCTTATTAATTTTACATTCATTACATATTGATCTGATAATATTTTGGATATATTAAGTAAAATATTATTAGCATTAATTTCACTTTCTTTTCACTTTTTAGTGTCTGCTTGAAAATTTTAAGTTAGATATGTGGCTTGCATTACATCCCTGTTGGACAGTGCTGATCTAGACATATGAGGAACAGCTATTACACATTTCTTTATGGGGAAAAAGATACAAGTTTAAATGATTTTATGATAATTGCCCCATGAAATATACACATGTATTCCGTTTGTTGGCTTAGAATAGTTGCTACTACTAGGTGTTTCAGCTTATTCTGTTTCCATGGGGCATGAAGATAATTTAGTTTTTCTCAGAATTACCTTTTTTTAAAAAAGGTTCTGTTGTTTATTTTGGGTTGTGCTAGGTCTTCCTTGCTGCATGGACTGCTCTCTAGCAGCAGTGCTCGGGCTTCTCATTGCAGTGGCTTCTTGTTGCAGTGGATGGATTCTAGGGCACGTGTGCTCAGCTGTAGCTCCCAGGCTTTAGAGCACAGGCTCAGTAGTTGTGGCACGTGGACTTACTCTGTGGTATGTGGGATCTTCTCACATAAGGGGTTGAATCCTTGTCTCCTGCATTGGCAGATGAATTTTTTACCATTGAGCCAACAGGGAGACTAGTGTTGAAATTATCTTTAAGTGGTAGATTTATACCTAGTGAGCAGTATGTATTTGCCATCTCCTTGATTATAAGCTCTTTGAAGGTAGATCCCATGCCCTTTTCAACTATAGCCTTTTTTGCTGTTTCACACATGTAGTCGTCATTCAGTCATTAATGTCATTTTAGATTTTCATTCTAATTTGATTACAGAGTAAAATTTTTTTTTTTTTAATCCATGAGCAATTTTTAAAAGCTTTTTGTCTTTGTTTAGATCTGTTAACACATTATTGACCAGGGGATTTTTGTAGAAATCAGTGCCTGTGACCAGCAATTTTATGAAAGATCTCTGGTCAGTAATGTTCGAGTGACAAAAGATGTATTAATACATCTCCAGTCAATAAGTTGTTAACTTTTCATTTCTTTGAATGCACATGCACAGTTTATGTATTTGTGTTACAGTGTACATTTTAATATCAGTATAATGGCTGAATCTGGACTTTCTTGACTGCTATTTAATAACACATTTTACTTTTATATAGTATTCTTGAGGCATCATAGTTTTTTAATGACTTGACTGGGTAATATTATTTGTAGTTATCCTCTGTATTTCCTGCCCATGGATTCTTTTTTGAGAATGTATGATTATTGTTGCAGAAGATACCTGAAATGGTAGCTTGGAGAAATGAAATTGTAAACCGTAGGGAGCATTATTTCTCTTGACAAGAAAGCAGGGACATGTCTATTTTGAAAGATGAGAGCCACCTATTTTTCCGGAGATGGCTACTGTTGTTGGATATAAAATTGTAAATCATATAAATGGGTAATGAAAAATGAATAATCTTAAAATAGAAAAAAAATGCAGCCAAGAGTATCATACCAACAAAGTTTGGTTTCTTTAGATGAGATCAAAGCTTTTGAAACTAATGGCAGATTTAGGATTTTCCAGGTCATTCCATCTCTGAACCAAACTGATGACCTCTAACAATGGCACAGAACTGCTAAGGTTCCCCATTCACTGTCTCTAAGAAGGTTCTCAGTTCCTAACTACCAGCTATTTCTGGATTTGGTACTAGTTTGGCTGGTACCAGTGAGCCAGGACTACTCAGTCGATATCCAAGTAACCGAGAAAACAGCTTTCTTTTGCAGGCTGTGAAGCTCAGAAAGGGACTGGAGTGGTGGTGGTGGTGGTGTTTTTGGCAGCTTGAAAATTTGACTTGACTAAATTCCCACTTTTGTTGATCAAATCACATAGGAATTTCAGTGAATAATTGTTTTATTGTGTTTGAGAGGTGGAAAAGGAATGTAAGACAGGAAGACTAAGATGTGATTTTTGTGAGTATTACATGGGAAGTTATTTTCCCCCTGGTAGAATGCACTCCTAACTAGCCAGCTGGCATAAATCTAATACCAAGCATGGTGGCCTTCAGCTTAGATTTTCTGGGACTTGCCCAACTTTAAAATACTTTCTTCCATGTGTCTTGATTTTTTATTAGAAAAACAACTTCTGCACTCCCCTGTCAGCCTCTCTCCCTGTATTCTCTACCTCTGGCTGTATGGATTAAATGTCATTGTTCCCATCTGAGGCCAGCCCCCCACCAAGGTTCTAGACCCCATGCCTGCTCACCCACTTAGGAGCATTGTTTCAGCAGTTGTCTCCTGCATCTTCAGTGTGTTCCTTTCCACTGGATCGCTCACACTGGCATAAAACTTGCTGTTATTTCTCCACTCATAAAGAGGACCAAAAAAAAAAAGGCTTAAAAGTCCTTCAGTGGGCTTCCCTGGTGGCTCAGGCATGAAGAATCCGCCTGCAATGCAGGAGACCAGGGCTTGATCCCTAGGTTGGGAAGATCCCCTGGAGGAGGAAATGGCAACTCACTCCAGTATTCTTGCCTGGAGAATCCCATGGACAGAGGAGTCTGGTGGAGTACAGTCTGTGGGATCACAAGAGTTGGACACAACGTATCAAAAACCACCACCACCCACCACCAAAAATCCTCCATCTCGCTTTGCCTTCTTCAGCCACTGCCCCATTTTTCCACTCTCTATAGCAGTACTATCAATATTTGGAAGAGTTGAATGTTCTCATGGTGTTCAGTTCCTCATTTGCATTCTCTCTGCCACCCCATGCCATAGCAACTGCTCCATAAAAAGGTCACCAAAGACTTCTGTGCTGTTGGATCCAATATCTTGTTTTTTGGGGGAAGTTTTTTTGTTTCTTAAAGGTCTGTTGGCAGCTCTTGACCTTGTTTGAAAACTTTCTTCCCTGGCAGCAGCATCTGACTTCTTTAAATGGCCCTCTTCACTTGACTTTCTGGATACCTTTTCACTGGCCAAGCCTTCTTGGGCTCCTTTGCTGGTTTCTCCTCATCATTAAGATCTGATGAGGATGAGTGGGAGAAAAGGGGAGACTTTCAGAATGGTTAGTGATTCTGGAGCATGAATTGTGGTGCATCACCCTAGAAAGATAAGCAAGGTGCTTATCTTGGAGACCCCCACGTAGTAGAAATGTTCTCAGGAGGATGTCAAGCAGAAAAGATGACAGCAGACACTTTTGTGTCTTAGGAAAACCATTTTATGTGTGGAAGATGTGTAATAAACTACTTTGGATTATTATATGTAGCCAATTTATTTGGGGGGAAAATAGTGATCAGAGGAACATTTTCAGTTTAGTTGATATTTATGTAAATATTCTTAAATAAAAAAGATATATAATAACACAATCAGCCTGATTTAGCATATCAGAGTTGATGTAGCCAAGTGGTTCTTTTCCATTTGGAAATCTTAAACTTAACCCAAAGGTGTTTTAGA